CTTTTAATGTGTATGTATTATTACATCTCTGCAGATAAAAACTGTGAGGGGAAAACCTGTAAATAAGTCCAGTACAGAATATGTGCTTAAGGTATACAGTGCTGTTTTCCTGGCACCATAGAGGAGTTTGAGAGTGTATTTTGAGGTCTTGTAAAATCTTATTCATGCCTTAGTAAGTTGGTTGCTGGTTATGTGTTTGGATGTTCTGTTAGAAACCTTGTCTTAAATGTAAAAGAATTTGAATGTTAAAATGATTCTGGTTTTTGAGAGGTGAGGGTAGGAAGAGGGGAAGATTTTGCTTAAGGAAATTTCTTATTTCAGTTGAAACCACAAAACAGGTTTCTAATAATTAGATTGTGGTGCAGGAGTACTCAAAAATGCAGGAATCTTGTAAAGCCATTTGGAAACTTTATTGATTGTTTTAATTGAATTGTAATAGTTGCAGTTCGCATCACTGGGATGATACTCTGACTATAACTTTGGCATGAGAAAGAGATGCTGGATTGAAAACAAAACAAATCCTGCAGCTGTTGATTTGAAGAGCATGTGTGCATGTGTGCGAGATAAAAATTTTCTGTTCTAACTATCATGATGGGAGAGTCATGCAGTGTTCTGTGAGAGTGCTGGGCTGTCTACCCATTAAGTACAACGGTGTGCTGTTTGCTTACATGTGCTTGCAAAACTCCAAGGTTACCATCTCTAGGCCTTCACAAGAAGATTGAGCTGTCTCACTTGGAGTCATTCTGTTCCACTTCTGCCAGTAGACTATTTGTAAACTTAGCATTTTGCAGGCCACAGTGTGTGGTAATCTGGGGCAATAATTTGGATGCTAATAATACTCTTCAGAAGTTGTTATTTATTAAACCATTTGACATTTAGGAAGAAGAATAGCCTGAGCTGGCCAAGTGTTTCAAGTTCATTGCTGAAGAACATGTCATTGGTAAGAGTATTTAATTAGCAAACAAATGTCAGGGCCCACGAGGGCATTAATGGGCCTTGTCATCCCCACTCGGCCTCCCCTGGGTCCTCTCCTCACCCTTGTCTGTCAGCCCAGGAGCCTGTTTCAGCCCAGCTGGAGCTGACAGACCGGACTGGAGTGGTGTTGCAGGTCTGCCTGTTCCCAGCTTGCTCCCACTGTTACAGGTTGACACGGTGTCTTCTTGTGCCTGGTGATGAGACTGTCCATGGGACACATCTCTGTCACTGTGCCCATGACAGCAGTGTGATAGAGCTGCTTTCTCAATTGCTTCTTGTCTTGTCACTCATGGTACTGGCGGAACTGCAGCCACCTAGAGTGTCTTTATGTCCAAAATGGGGCCAAGGACATTTTTGGTGACTGGGGACATGTACATTTTGGAGAGATTACTGCAAAGCTGCACACTGAGTTTGGCTGTCTTAATGAGGGAAGGTGTTCAGTTGCTCTTGAGTTGTCAGAAGTGATGTGTTTAATGGAGTAAGTCCAAAGCATTGGCAATGCTGTAACTCGCAGTGCTGCCGGGTGAGGGTGACTTGCCTTTTTGCGTTGCTGTCCCTGTCTGTGACATGGAGATGTGACTTAGGAAGTGTGTTGTGAAAGTGGACTTGCTAAGTGCTTTTACACAGCCCTGAAAGTAAACAATTTATGTCTTTTTATCCTCACAGTTAACACCAAAGATAAGAACTCCCAGTGATTTCAGTGAATGTGGGATCGGACTCCTAGCTGATGTTTCATATTATTTATTTGAAATAAGGTTTTAAATTTAAACGAAATAAACACTGTAGGACGTAACTCACTTTAATGAATAACTTCACTAAAAATTAATTTGCATATCTTTTGTTTCAGTAAGTAATAACAGACTTGTTAAATAAATGTGGTAATTTAATTCACTGATCTCTCAGGTGCTTATTGTATTAGGTAATGGGCTAAGAGGGATCTTTCATTCACAGTGCAGGTCTGTTAATGCTGCTGTATTTATTCTGTTTAGTTTTGTGGGAATTGCTAGGATTATAAAAATGTAGTATTTGGTTTAAACGTTTTAATGATGTGTAAAACTAGGCTGTACCATTTTCTTGGTTAAGGTGGTGTGATGGGAAAACATGAATTAAGAGCATGGATCAGCAGCATATTAGGAGTACATCTGGGTTTTATTAGGTGTAAACTTCAGTGCAGGTGCATTTGTGTGAAATGCTTTTTGTAGTGTAAAAAAATGAGATTTTTTCTGTTCTCGTTGAAATAACTTGTAAATTTTATTGCTTTGCATGGTATGCTGATGGTATGCTGCTTTGAGCTTTGAATTATGTGTCTGTAGATATATATTATGATCTAGATTGAACAAATTAGGTAGATTATACTGGAGAAATACTAGAAGGAGAACTGCAATTTTTTTTTCTTGTGTATGTGGAAAAGAAAATAGCATGGGAAGAAATGTTAAAAACAAAAAAAAAAACAACAACTATTATGTATCGTAAGCTGTTATTTTCCTCTCTTGTTTATTGTAATTAATCTAGAGGTTTCTAATCTGCTAATAGTATAACCCCAAAGAAAATGTTTTCCCATTCTTGTTTTGCTGTTATTTCTGAAGCTAGCCTTAATGACGCCTATAAAATAGTATGTTTTTTTTTTTTTTATACTGTTCTGCATTGATAGCAAAAGACAAAGAACCCATTGAATGAATTATTTCTATTCATAGTGACATAATTGGTCATACAAACTTTACTGAAGTAAGTAAATATTTCTTTGATTGGAATACTTGCTGTTGTATAATACATGGAAGTATCACACAGTAGTGTATCTAAAGAAAAGCTACTTGAAAAGGATGTTTTAAGATACAGCGGATATATCTGTATTATTTTTTTCCATTTTTGCTGGGGAGGCAGAGTATACCCTGTTCCTGTTGTGTAAAAAGTCAGGGTATGTGATAAGGGGACGTTATCAAAATAGCTGTGTTCTGTTAACAGTGTCCAGCTTATTTGCTTCTCTTGCTGACTGTAAATAAGTTTAGATCAATGACTTTGCATAGTATACAGTATAGAAGACTCTTTCTCCATTTATTGCACTAAAATATTTCTCTGTGCAAATAAGAAAGTAGCTAAAAATTAAGAATGTTGTATTTTCTGTGGATGGAGAGAGGGGATTACTGCAGCAAAATTTAAGGTTAATTTAGTAGAAATAGATTTTATGTGGTTTTGTCAACTGTTGTAGAACTCCATCTGAGCTATTTAGAAATTTATAGGAAAGAGCTCCTGAGAGACAGACCAAATGCACAAATGTGTTTTTCTCATTCAGATTTGTTTGGGAGGATTTGGCTTGGGTGTTGGCCATCTGTGGAATAGATGAAAATGCACACTGCCTGTGTGGTGATGAGAGAATTGAAGGTGTGTGCCATTTTTTCTTGCTTTGTCACAAATGTAATCTCAAAAAAGACTCTCTTCTTTTTAATATAGTACTTACTCTCCTCTATTTTTTTTGCTGTTATCGTGTTTGGGTGAGAAAAATAGTTGCTGTGTATTAGGCAAGTAGAGGAAGCTGTTCTACTGCCATCTCTATGGGCTAATCCTGTTTTCCCATCTGTGTTTTATCCATTTCTTAGGGAGGCAGGACTGTGTGAAGAAACTTCCTTAAAAACACAATTTAATTGTAATTGTCATAGAAATCCATTGATTTTGCCTACTTAAAACTGACCATGCATTTAGGTGCTTGAGTCTAAAGGAAAACAGTGTGACCTTTTTGTTAATGAAATGTAGTTCCTCTGTCTCTGCTAACGCTGCAGTATTTTCATTGCCATGTTAACTACCTTTAAGACAGAAGGGAAAAGTTGGAATAATCACAGCTACTTTTTTTTTTTTTTTTTTTTTTTTGGTGGAATGTTCCATGTACTGGGAATCCAGAGATGATTTTAAGCCTTACTTGACTCTCCAGTGCTCCCAGTATATTTTCCCCTGCCCTCAGCAGCATGCTTTGTTAAGAGATCTGTGCAGATCCCATGTAAAGGGATCCCTTGTAAAGAGATTCCTTGTAAAATCATATTCTCAAAAGCCAAATCACACCTCTAATGAGTCTGCTGATCTTCCATCTCAGTTTATTCTTGTATAAATGGGGAGGTTCTTCATATATCATCTGTGGATGTGTGTATAAATATTCAGAATTTGTTATTATTGTGGGAAGTGGGAAATCTTGTTCAGCATCACTGAATCAACCTTACCTACCCTTGTCAGCTTATTTTATTACCTTTTTTAAATTTTTGCTACTGGGTATCCAAAACTTATGTGGTATTCTAGTTGTGTATTTCAGGAGGGATTTATTAATGGGAGTTTTGCCTGTAGAGTAAACACCAGCATATTCTTGGCCTTCCATATTGCCACCCGGGGCTAACTTCTGGCTTACTTTTGGCCTGTTCCCCACCTGGGTCCCCAGCTTTCTTTCAGCAGACCTGCTCCCTAGGTAGTCAGTCCTAGGTCTGTAAAGGGATAAGTCCAACACAGGTAGGGGACTACGTGTCTCATTTCTGAGTTTCATGAAATATCTATGGAGTAATGGTGGAGGGGGTCTGGATGTACGCTTCTTAAGCTTGAGGGGTTGAGCCTGCTACATAGTTCAGTTTATTTCACTGTTTTAGGAACTTCTGTAGTTCTTCCTAAGTCACATCTAACTTTAAAATATTGTTATGAATTTGAATGTTATATACAAATCATTTTAATTTTATTTTCAAAACTTGGCACATATTAGTAATAAAACAGAGGAAGAGAAGAAGATGCAATGTTGAGCATGGTTAGTGGTTCACGTGTTACTTCTTCACACATGCTTTTTTTTTTTTTTAGAGACTTGGTGGTTTGGAGTGAGGTCCAGTATGCTACATTTCTAGCAAAGCAGAAGTGTCATGGTAGTGAAATGTTACCCGCATGCTTATAGTCTCTTTTGAGTGGAGTTGTGCCATTCTAGCCACTAGAAACTAATCATAAATATTGTTTTAATGTTTTTGGCTCTGTACCTTTCTTACATTTTATGTCAATTATTTCTCTAGGTATTGCCAGGTTTCTGAAGTGGTTGACCAAGACCTAAGGACGTGGAACACTGGTGAGTAAAAGAAATTCGGATTATATTATCTAGTATTTCTACATGCTGTCTACCTCTGAAACTTGACTGCTGTTTGAGGGTTGGAGGATGTGCAACAGGCTATTCCTTTTAAATATTTCTCTTTTTTTGTGAGCACCACAATTGTATTCAGAGTATTCATCTGATATTTTCAGCATTGATTTTAAGAAAGCAAAGAGGAGGTAGCATCAACGGCTGCTTTTGATAAGTGAAATCTCCTCACTACCCACCACCGTGAGTTAAAAAATACTGAACTTGAATGACTAAAACTATTTAAAGTAAAATTGTTTAACCTATGCTTCAGTAACATAAACGTGACCTGTTGTATTAAATAAGCGATACCAAATACAGACTTCTCAGAATCATGGCAGTGTATACACTAAGACATATAAAGTCAGATCTTGTTCCACAATACATGGAAACCTAATGGTGAGTTAATAAATTAGTGTAAGGTGATTTTTTCTTTTTCTTTAACCCCTCAACCTTATGTCTATGATTCTTAATTCCCCGAATTTCCTCTGAAAATTACAGTGTCCTTTCTAAAGACAGATCATTTTGTAGGTCCCTTACATTCTGTGTGCCAGTTATGTACCTGCTGTGACTAAAAGGGAACATGGAGTCTGAGAAAGAACCTTAAAGATTTCATTTACTTTTTCAAGTGAATTTTCTTTACTAATGTGTTTATGAATATGTTATTTGCACTTCCCTGACTGTAGAGCTAGGCTGGCAAAGAGAGCCTTGTAAGTGCAGAGCTATATACACCAACCGTTGATTATATTTAATAATAATAATAATAATAATAATAAATATTTTAAAAAGCAACTACTTTTTTTTTTTTCCAAGAGATGGTTATTTGGAATAACATATTTTTCTATTCCTCTGATTTCCATACTCAAGCCAGGACACATGAAATACTTTGTATTTATGGAATCTTGTTTGGTTCCAATGTTGTTGGCGGTCAACGTAAGTTTTTAGCATCCACAGATTCAGTTGTGCATGCTATTGACTCTGGTGACCAAGAGCAGAGAAAACGTGGTACAGTGAGACATTCTTGCCTTGTCTTTTTCTTCCATTTTTGCCCTTTATCACCTCTGAGAATTGTATTTGAATAGTTCTTAATATCTAAAGTGCTGTTGCTTTCAAACTTTGAAGGAACATCATTTGATGTAGGACATCATTTGTTCAGGATATCATTTACCTTCGTGTAATTCTATTTTACTATCACCTTTTATTTTTGCCTGTATTTTACCAGGAGAAGCACCTAAGTGAGTTTTAAGTGAATTTGTCAGTTAATTTTGCATACTTCCTTTTTGCCTGCTGTCTTAATCTGTCTTCCTAACCTCCCAATTCTCAGGTCTAAAAAGGGCTGTATTCATGGTGTCTCTGGTGCACTTGTAGAGTGAATTGATAGTTCCTGTGCACTTTATATCCCCCTTTTCCTTTTTTCTCAGACAGAATGAAACTTGTTTGTTCCTTCTTCTTCCAGGGCATTCAAGAGACCTAAAAAGTTAGTCTGACGTTTACATTAGTTCATCTGGTACTCTTAGAATGTTACAGATCCTTGCTCACTTTGAAGGTACTCAGTTATCTAGGATAGTTTTGGTCATGGTGAATACATGACCAGAGTTGTTAGGAAGACAGAACAACATTAAGGTGCCTAGAGAAAAGAGAAAAATCCATGTTTTGCCCTTGCTCTTAAGTGTAGGCTTACTAGGAGCCACAGTAAACTTCAGGATCACAAAGAACTAAGCAAAAAGGAATTCAGACTAGATTGAACCTCACTAACCACTCTCATCCTCACTGAGATACCCACACGTATACAGATTTACATGGCTTCTTTTGTCTGTGTGACAGTGTGACACATTTATACATGCTCTGTGTAAGTTAAGTGTTTCACAATACACAACTGTGCCACTGAGTTGAAACAGGAGTGTTAATCCAACAGGTACCACTCTGGTGTATGTAGTGTTTGATCCCACAAAAAGCTGAAGCTATTGGAAAATTTCTTTACAGTGTACAAGGAAGAATTCCAGTCTGTGTGTCTTCATGTATGGGCTCTGTTAATACCACATGCCCATTCTTCAGAACTCACTTGCCCCAGGTATTCTGAAACAAAAGCTATCCCTCTGTCAAGCTAAATGTACCTATAGTGTAAGGGAAACAAAGAAAATATATACAAGGTTTTTAAAAATAACTAAAAAATTGCTTGTGACTGCTGCTTGTGGGTGACTCAAACTTGCTTAAAAGTAATCTTATAAACAACATAGCTCATGTGAAGTTACTTGTGATCTTTTAGTGACATTTAATTGCGTAACTTCAAACTGAAATCATTTCCTTCTTTACAGAGTGCTGATATTTGTTATTTTATGATTAATACCATAGCCTTTCTGGTGGGATGCTCTGATACGGGGCCCTGATTCATCACAGAATCAGAGGATATGCTTAAGGGTCACCAGCTAAAATACTGTTTGTTTAGAAACTGAGAAGATGATTAAGTGTTTTGTTGAATGCAAAAAAGCTGAAGCACCAACTTTTCTCAAGTTGGAACCTTGCTCATACTATGGATCAGTGAGATGACACACCACACTTTCATAGCAGTTGCTGGGGATGAAAACTGAAGTGTGGGGATGAAAACTGTGTACTGTATGGTAATTGGGCTGGCCTTGATAGAACATAGAGAGTTTAAGCAGCATTATGCAACAGCAGATATAGGTATTCAGTCTTACAAGTTTGATGCTCTTTAAGAAGTTGCTAGTTAAGAAAAAAAGACACTTATTAATTTAAATTTGTTTCTTGGATACCTTTACAGGTATGACTAATTTTATAGTAATGTGCTCTGTAGTGCTTAGCAACATAACAAAAATACCAGCACATGTATTAAGAGTGTGAAACTAACTTAAACAAAGACCAGCTGTCAGCATCAGCAGATGGAAAGCCTATGTAGAGGGATACATACAGTGGCGATGGTAAAATTGCATGGTTAATAAGATTAGCTCTGTGTAGACCTAAAACTACAGATCTAAAACTTGGAAAATGTGAAAACTACATGTTTTGAACAGCCAGCCTCTCCAGGTGACAATACTTACCTAGTTGTCATGCATAGGTCCCAGTTAGTTTTGGTGGATAAGGGTTGTACTTCCAGCCTTGGAAACAACTGGGAGAAACCAAGGTAAAGGAAAGGAAGTAGAGTGTCTTCTGAAGGCCTTTCCTTGTGTCCTGGTGGCTCTCATAAGAAGGAAAGCCATAGTTTGCTCATGGTGTCATCTTATCCATGTTTGAACTTCATCTGCCTCATGACAGTGTTTTTATGATGTAAGGGATTATTTCTTAGGTTTTTAATAAAGCATTTTTAATAAAATGTTAATGGTTTTGATGTAATTGAAAGGTCACTGTATGTTAGTCCAGCATAGCTCACAGAGCTCACAGCAGAATACAGATCAGGACAGGGAATTGATTTTGTGGTTTTGTGTTTGGTTTGGGGTTTTTGGTTTTGTGTATATCAATACAGTTAAGTATTCTGTACATAACAGTACAGAGTCAGTTTCCACCCCCCACCCCCCATCAAAAATGGAGCTGTAGCCAGTCTTGCCGGTTTTACTTGTTTTTGTTAAGAGCCAGAGTAAATAGGAAGTTATATATTTGTATTGCTTTTCCTATATGAGCTACCTCTTTTCTGTGCGTGGGGGGGGAGGAGGTGGTGTGCCTGTTTTTTGTTTTTCATGTAATTGGTCTTTGTATGCTCCTCCTTTGGAGAACTATAAGGGGATATTAAAACACTGACTTAAAACTGCATCCCACCTCAATTTAATAGAAACAGAAATAGCAATGGGCCTTTTTCCCCTTTCTCATCTCTGAAGGTAAAGAAAAGAAAACAGAGGTTGAGTTCTAAGCCAGGAAAATCAGAAGGTTTGGAGTTCTTTCTTTGGGAGGTCAGTGGGAACTTTCAGATACTGTAAACCAGGCTGAACTGATAATTTGCTTATGGAGCAACAAATACAATGGCTAATTTTAATTTTGTTATTTCTGGAACTTAGCACAGCTCTTGACATGGAGGTGCCATGCCACAAGCAGTGAGTAAACGGCAATTGCAGCCGCAGGAAGGAGTGTGGCATAGAGGATAGGGCTGCCTGCATGACCCTCACATTCTATTTCCATGACTATTATTAGTTTGCTAAGTGGTATTAGGAAAGTTGATTGTTTCTTACACTTTTTGTCTGTGTAGCGTGCAAGGTGCTTGCTCCAGATACCGTGCCTCAGCATTTTTCACTGTGTTTTAGTGTCTGTGGCTTCCTTCAGGTGCCGTTGCAGTGCTTGCAGAATTTCTCTCATGCTGTGATATTAAGTCTCAGGGACTTGTTGTGTAATGGGGAATCCTGAAGACATTTGGGTATTGATTCTGCAAGCAGTAGGCTAATAATACTGTACAGAGCATGGTTTAATGTTGCATCTGGACTTACGCAACTGCAGGCTGATGCCAAAAGGGGCAGTACTGCTTCAGCCTGTTCCTTCCCCTCTCTTGCATCAGCCCCCAGCCACAAGGTGAGTTCAAGGTAAGCAGCTGATTGAGTAAAAAAAATCTAACTACCTGGGAAGGAAAACTACATCAGGTAACTTTGTTGGGCTGGCTTGTCCTGTGGCTGTGAAATTGCTAGATGTAACACAAGGGGCAAACAGGGAATAAAATAAGCAGCTGGAAGTAGGTGCAGAGAGGGATTTCAGCTTTTTTCTGCAAAAAGTAATAAATACACCAGATGAGACATAGCATGAAAACATGTGCTTGTTCAGAGTTGCACTTTACAACCAAGTTTTGAAAATTCCAGAACAATGGCTTGCAAAGGACATGATAGCCCAACTTCATTTCTGCTGCTGTTGCTGCTGTCACAGTCTTCATTGGAAGTATATTTTCAAAAAAATTGCTTTATAATTGGCTTTACTGAAGGAGCAGTCATCTTTGTGATCCACATTGTATTTTCAAGGCGTAT